TCCCATCCCATCCACTCCACTCCATCTTGTGGCTGGTGCCTCCTCCTCATCATCATCGTCGTCGTCCTCGTCGTCGTCTTCGTCGTACTCAATGTTCCCGTCGTCGCGATCGTCAACGCCGCAGCCATATCTGGAGCCCGGGGCTGATTCATTCGCTGCACTCCACACATAAAAACAAAAACAACTACAACTACAGCAGAGCTGCTAAATTGCTGAGCTATCCGCGTGGCATGTTCAACAATTTCTTCTAATTAGAAGATATTTTGCGCTTATTAGAATATGTTGCGACACAGAGAATTTGGTTAAAGTGCATTCAGGTGCAGACAACATCAGCGGGCCACCATGTAACCGGCATGAGGACCAAAGCTTGAGAGTTTTTCGACTGAAAGTATATTCTTCTAGCATTTTACATTTAGTTACTTGAGGTTTATATAATTCAATCATTAGACCTTTAACACGAATTAAAAATGTGTACAGCTTCATTTGTTAATTCTTATTTACTAAATAATATATATGTATTAATCTTATTATGTACGTAATTATGTATTTAATTATTTACTAAATCATATACATAGTATGGTTATTTTTTTACAGTAAATTTTTGTCTTAAAATGAATATTAAAGAAATTTTTAACATTCGCAAATATATGGAATTGGTTTTTTTTTTTTTCTTGTAATATTTTTTTATATGCAAAAAATCAAAGAAAAATTGTTTACTATAACATAAAAAATTTAAACAAAAATTTAATTAATAATAATTAATGAATTACAAAAATATGTAATTAATATTAAATATTTAAAAAATAAATAAATAAAAAAAAAACGTACATATTTACTTACATTTTTTGTTGATTAATTTTTAAGCGTTAATATTTACTGAACAAAAATCAATTTAAAATTTTTCAAAACAAAATTTTTTTTAATATTCAAAAATATGTTATTGTTGTGTAAGAAGCCTAAATAAAAAGCTAAGATAAAATATTTTCTTATCTGATATTAAAATAATTTGTATAAATTTGTATCCAACTATCGAAGCTTAAACATAAGAGGTATATGTAATCACAAATAAATTTTATGAAATGAAATGAACAAGTATAATAAGTGAAAGAACTAACCTGTTCCAATAGCACTTCTAATATATTACACTCTGTCAGTTATCAGTCAAGCTGGGCGGGAGGGTAAAGGCAGGTGGCAATAAATATAGTTCTACTGCATTGCGATTTCATAAACAATTTTAATCTAATCTGTTGCACATGAAAATAAACCAGCAAGAAATATGATCAGCGACGATTAAAGCACTTTAAATCAATCAAAATGTATTGATAGGCTGCGCTGATGGATTTACAAGCGAAACAATAGAGGTCTTATAATATCAACCGAACGATCGTAAATCCGAATTATGATTGGCAGCATTGACTAAGAGGCCCGTTACACGTGACTCAACTAATCCTTATCGCTATCATACCGTATGAGTGCCACGAACTGTAAGCAATACGATTTAACTAAATTGTTTAATAGCACTCACTGTGCCACGATAAGCACAGGGATTTATACTTTTGCTCACTCTGATCACTCTAACTGGCTGTTCTCTTGACTTCATATTGGATTCGCTCATATATTAGACATATCAGATCAAATATTTAATGAATGTTTTTGTTGTTGGCCTGATCATAATTTATTCCTGAGATGATTTGCATGGCAATTCCAATGAAAGATTCAAACTGACAGCCATAAATATTCAACTCAAAGCTCAAACCTTTTGTTTTTACTTAGTTTTTTTTTTTTTTTTTTTTGGTTAAAAACTTTTAAATATTCATGCGCGATATTTGTCGAAGCGACAGATCTGCAGCGGCTACGATCGATTGTCTCCTGAGTTGTAGGCGCTGATCTTGGCCCAGGTCCTTTGTATTTTTTTTTCCATATATTTTTTTCCCTGTTTGTTTTTCGTTAAGGCAACAGGGCTCAATGCCATTCGATTGTTCAGCCAGGCAAATGCCGAAAAAACAATGGGTCATTTAGCCAGCGTCTGTGGCCTGGCCAGATTGTGTTCGGGTTCCCCAATCCCTGGCACCGAGTAACTTACCGAAAACGTTACCGATCCTGACAGCCAACAAGTATGGCACGACTCGATCGCCAAGGCTCTTGTCCTTGTCCCTCGCAACATAGCCCGGGTCCTCTGAGTGATTTATTAAGTTTGTGTCAATTCTTGAAATTATTGGCCCCAAACGACTGCTGGCCAAAGCTGAGCCCCATTTTGCATTGCATCGTGCTGACGGCTTCTGCGCATATCTTAACACATTTCGGTATTCCCTTGAAAACTCATTTCATAGAAGAAGGAATCCCTCGATCGAATCTCAGGAAATGCCACAAGCCAAATACCAGATATCAGATATATATCAGGTATACCCTATTAATTTGCATGAGATATGCATTTCAGACTCAGACTCACTCTTATTGAGTGAGCAGCTCAGAGATCTTTAAGTTGGCTTGAGCACAATGCAGTATCAAATACCGATATATCTCTAAACTTTCAATTGCCTAAGCGCTAAATATGTCATTGGCCAACCTTGTGTTGCTTTTTCGTATAAATGGCAAAACAGATAGCCAAAAGAAGAAACATCGAGCCATCAAGATGCGATGACTTCTGTTGAGATCGCAGCAACTTAATCTGCTAGCTGAATGGAGTGCAAATGCCAAGACTCATTCGTAGCTTGGTTCCATTCAGCAAAGTGGGTAGCACATATAGCAAATGGCTGAGGCGCATGAAGGAGCCATAATTTAAATTTTCATGCGCTTCGGCTGTCAATTGTGCGCAGCCAACAACTCAGTTTAATGGCAGCAGCCCGTGAGGCGCAGCTACAGCTACAACAAAAAATTTAAATACAAACAACTAGGAGCAGCAGCAGCAGCAACAACAACAACAACAACCACAGAGCGAACCACAGCGCAAACCACAGCGCGAACCACTGCAGCCCAACGTAACTGGCGCTAAATCAAACGATGGCCACGAAATTGCCATAATGACGACACAGCGATGACGATCATCGTAATGATGCTCCCGCTGTTGCCCATTATGATGCTCGCGACGATGATTACGTTCTCGGCGCATCGGCAGCCGAAATAATCAGCGCAGAATTATTGGAGAGTCGCGCAATGCCGAAGAGCACTTGTTGAAATCTCAGCGCTACTTGCAGCCCTGCCGAAACTAAGGAAGAAGAGCGCATTTTTATTTCTCTGTGGGAGAGTCGGCTATTGAATACTCTAAAGAGAGCAAATACATTGAATCAGCAGTTGTTGTAAATTTACTGATATATTTGAGAGTTTAGTAAAATAGCTCTTGAGTGACCTACGATCTATATGCTTAAGTTCAATATAGAAAGAAGCAAGAGGCTGTCACTCATAATATATAGAGAAACATGACTTAAATAATAAGAAATATTAATAAATAATAATGATAATATTAATTGAAATTCATGCATATTTAAATATTTTGTGTAAGTTAAATTTAGCAAAATCTAATTATAAATGATATCAATATTAATTTAATTATTAAAATTCTACATATGTTAAGCTTTCTTTGAAAAAATAAATACTTAAATAAAACAAATCCCTTTAAGATGATCCTATTCTTTGAGCATCAATATATAGTGAAAGGAAGAGCACCAGACAAATGACCCTAACACGTAAAAAAAAAACATTTAATATAAAAGCTTATACTATGGCTAATACATTGTAATTGAATAGACTAACTAAATGAACAATTTCTTGTATTCTAAAAATAATCATAAAATTCTGTTTTGATAACTTTATTATGTTTTTGATAACTTTCTGTATATTTACATTAATAAATTGTAAAAATATAAGCAGCCATTCTTAGTCAGAAAATCATAATGCCCAGAATTCTTGCCTTACTTGCCATACATTGATTGCACATGTTGCAAGTTGCAAGTTGCAAGTTGGCAAATCGAAATTATCGCATAATCGTGTAGAGCGCGCGTTGAGGCAATTTCGGTTTGGATTTGTGGCTGCTCGGCACAGAAGCGACAGCGCGTCGCATGCAGCAGAGAACATTGCAGCCGAGTGCAAATTTGTGGCAGCTACTTTGGCTGCCACTCGTCGTGGAGGAGAGGATCGGCCTCTGCTGCGGCCTCAGCCTCACATGTGCTGATGATCAGCAAACAAAAGTCACATTGGTCACGATCGAGTCGGACAGGCGACGGCCTGCTGGCAGGAGACTGCTCTAATTGAGCGTGGGCGTGGCAGTCATTCAAATGACTCTGGCAGAGCATACATATTAATGAGTTGCAACATGATAGAGCTGCCATACAATCAAATTTTGAAGTGGAAAGCGAAAAGGAATGCAAATGAAGTCCAAATTTATTATATGGAACTTTTAGCATTGATATATATGTATTTAAAGATAAATACAAGTTAAATAAATGTTTATTTTTACATAATTTATGGAATATATAGACTAGGGTACAGCTAAGTCTTTCTGGCCATGTCAGATTATTTTATTTTATTTTATTTTATTTTTTCCCATAAAAAACTCACCGAAATTTTGTATTAAAATGTAGCCAAGTTGATGCAAACTTTGACCCCCTAATCGAAGTGCTTGCACTCTATCATTCATTAATGATTCATTTCAGGCTGTGCCCTATCAGTAAGTCACTGAGTGAGTCCATCAGTCATTCAGTCGTAAAAATATCAAGAGTTTTTTTATAACTAACCAATTTTGCCAGAGTTCAGCTGAGAGTGTGCCACATATCAAAGTTCATTGAAATAAATCAATTAAAGTCGCCGAGTCATGAAAGTGCCAACGATTGAAATCTAATCTGCCTTTGTTAGTTGCCATTTCTCCAACATGACAAGAACATCCATATAACTTTCTGTCAAAAATTTTAAAATTTCGAGAGTTTTTCCTTTTATATTTTTAGAAATCCCAAGTTTAGTTGTAGACAGATCATCCCTTCTGACTCACACAATTCGTTTTAGAAAACATGTCGAAAATGTTGAACAAATTTGTAATTATTCTGATGGTCTCTACACTCGCCAGCAATCAAGTCACTGCTGCTCGTGCTCCTGCTCCTGCTCCTGCTGCTGGCCCTGCTCTCTACACAATCGAGGGCAGTATCCTGCCGCTTGATCCAGCAGTGCGCGTCCCTGAGCGCTGGCCGGCCGACGTAAGCGTCGCGCTCAACGGCGGCGAGTATCTGGGCTTCGTGCAGGTTGATGGCAGCTTCCGGATTAGCGGCGTGCCCTCTGGCAGCTATGTGTTGTACGCCCATCATGCGGACATATTCTTTTCGCCGATCCGCATCGATATTGCCCACAATGGGAAGTTTCGGGCACGCAAGCTGAGCCACCTTAGGCCGTCGCAGGTCGTAAAGCTGCCCTATCCGCTGATGCTGACGCCGGGCATGCCGCGCCGATACTTCCGCACCCGGGAGCAGTGGAACATATTGGACTACATGCTGAATCCAATGGTGCTGCTGATGGTGGTGCCCCTCATCCTGATGCTGCTGCTGCCGCGACTCATCAACGACCCGGAAACCAAGCGCGAGATCGAGAACATTCAGTTCCCCAAGATAGCCACAGGTATGCCCGATCTCAGTGATATGATCACCTCGTTCTTAACCGGCAACCAACCCGTGGAGAAGGCGAAGAAGCCCAGCCGAAAGCGCAACTAGGATTAAGTGCATCGCTGTCAACTGTAAATGTAGTTCCTTACCTAAGATTCTCGCTTATTAACTTATATTAATTCTTGCTCTGTCAATAATAGTCTAGCGTGAACAAATTCTTTTTCTTTGCTTCTGTTAATTTCCTCATTTGAAAAGGATAAAGGATATGGAATCCATTGTTAAGTAGTGCGAATTGAAATAGGGAAAAGACTAAATCTTTTGTTGAAATATTCTAGAATCGTTACCATATTTTTGTAGCTTCTCTTACAGCAATATATGGTATATTGCTTCTTATGTTTCTTTTAAATAGAATTAATGATTCATGATACAAGATACAAACAAGACTTCAGTTGCCATGTTTTTTTTACCGCTGCCATCTTTTCTTTGCTGAAAAGGTCAGACATTTAGGGGTTGCTGAAATTACAGTAGAGCTGCTGCAAATGAATGAAATATATCAATTCACAATGTGAATTGTATTATTCGTTCGTAGTCCAATATATATGTACATATAATATCTTTAATATTTTCTAGAGAAAGTCTGATATATATTTACTTAAATATTTCCTATAAGACATATCAGTATTCACATCTCAAAGAAATAAATGTTCTGATAGTATCTTTAACTGTACAAAGTTTTAATTTAGCACTCTTTAAGTTTTGTGTTACTAAATTATTTGTAGTCAATTAACTCTAACTCCTGCAGAACTATTCTAAGAATTTTCTTGCGAAATCCCTTATGCTTTATTTACTAGCAGAGCGATCTATTAATTTCTCCAATATTTCATTTGAGAGATCTATTGTTTCAGCTTATGCTAAGAGAAATAAACTCAATTTAATATAAATTCATAAGTTATATTAATGAAGAATGTTTTCTACTTAAGAGGTTTGCTCTCAATATCACAAAAAATATTGTGAAGTACTACATATGTTTTTTAAGTTTTCTGACATCTCCAAAGATCAATTTAATATCAGTTAAATTTAAATTTATCTTCTGCTAATTCTTTTCGTCGATCATTACTAATTTTTAGACCACAGCTCTATTCAAATTTAGTTTCACTGTAAATACCAAAAGCCGCCCTTAAATAAATACAAAATTTCCATTTTTATAAATTCAATAAAAGTCGGTTTATTTTGATCACAATGATTCATGTTTTCTTTTTTTCCAATTTCATTCTCTTTGCCCAGGAATTTGGCAGCCCTGACAAGGGCTTTTCCTTATACGTTTTCTTACATTTTGAATATTTTCATCATAAATTTCAATTGATTTTTGGGCAATGGGGCCAATTAAAGAAATAGAGAGAGAGAAACGCCCACAGCAGCAAAACAGATGCCGCAGTCTTTCAAGGATGTCACGAGGCGCAGATGAAAACGATTCTGCAATCAGAGAGAGCGAAGGAGAGAGAAAGATTGTGATTAGATTTGATATAAATACATGTATGTAAATACAAGATTTATAGGAATGATAATGACCAATGCCAATGATAATTACCTTGAAAAAGTCGGCTCAATTGCTTGGCAAAGCTGCGTGGGCGTGGCGCGCTCGATGGGCGGCAGGCTGGGGCTGTCTGTGCCGCTGCCGCTGCCGCTGCCGCGACGCGCTGCGATTCGTCGAAATGTCCTTTCGATCTCGCAATATATATATACGTGTGATAGACTGTATATATGCATACATATATATAAATATATATGTGTGTGTGTGGCTTGATTTGTGGTCTTCGCTGAGTGCGTACAAAGAAGAGTCTCGCTTGACCTTGCCGCCGCGCCACGCCTCCGACTAGGGGAGGCGCCGCGGCTGGCCAAGCGTGGCAAACAAAAAGGTTGACAAAAAATCTTGATTTTGTTCGAAACAACGAAAAAATATTTTCGGTGGCAAATTCTTGGCGTGCCCACGCTTTAGGCGGTCTTCTCTTTCTTCACGCAGAACTGGCGCAGCGCCGCCAGCGAGTTGCTGGCGCTCAGATTCTCCGGCGCGGATGCATCGCCACCGGCTTGGACGGCTGCTGCCGCTGCCGCTGCCAGCTTGGCGCGCGTATTGGCTGCGCCGCTGCCGCCGCCGGCGCCGCTGCTGCCGAGCGAATCGAACATGGAGGAGAGGGCGTTGAGCGAGTCGCTGGGGTATTTCTTGGCGTTGCTGTCGCTGCCATCGTACGACTTGTGGCTGGAGGCGGGCGATTTGGGCGTGGCCGAGCGTTGACTGTCCGCTGGGCTGCGCGGCGGCAGCGGCAGACGCGACGACTGCGGACTGCCGGCAGCAGACGACGATTTGGGTGAGTTGCCATTGTTGTTGTTGCTGCTGCTGCTATTGTTGTTGTTGTTGTTGTAGTTGCCATTTAGCAACGGCGTCTCGGCTTCAATTTTGGGCGAAGCAGCGGCCAGATCCTGCGGCTCATCGCTCAGCTCAGACTTGATTTCCATTTTGAGACTCGACTCTGGCTCCTGCTTGATGGGCACTTCCACTGACTGCGACTGCGACTGCGACGTCGACGTCGACTGCTGCTGCTGCTGCGACGGCTGCTGCTTCTCTGGCGTTGGAGCCTCCAAGCGCGGCCTAGCCTCGGCGCTGCACTCGCTGCCGCTGCGCTCGCTGCTCGTGTAGCGATAGTGCTGATAGTAGGGATCGCTGGTGTCGATCAGCGGCTTGTTGTAGTCCACCGTCTCGTCGATGCCCAGCCGCTTCAGGATGCTGCTGGCCACCGGCGAGGTGTTCTTGGTGGACGAGTTCGAGGGGCTGCTCGCCGGCAGACTGGCGTGCCGCGGCGGCGTATCGAAGCTGGTGGTGAACATTTGCTCGATGGCGCTCAGCACCGAGGAGGAGCCGGCTTTGCCCGAACCTGTGCCGGCAGCAGAGCCCGCATTGCCGGCGTTGGCTCCTCCATTCTTCTGCTCCAGCTCCGGCGACTTGTTCTTGGCCAGCAGCTGGGCGGCTTTGGCAATTTCCTCGGGCGACTTCACGCCCGTTATATACTGACGCATGCGCTCCGCGAAGAGCGCTGCCTCGGACTTCTCCGGCTTGGGCTTCTCCAGTGGCTGCTCCTCGGGATTGGCCTTCAGCTCGAGCAGCTTGCGCACCGGCAGCGACTTCTCTCGCTTCTTGGGCGCCGGCCGCTTCCGAGCGCCCGCCGACTGCAGCAGCGGCTCCGCATAGTGATTGTTCTTGGCCATGTGATTGCTGAGGTCGCCCAGCGAGCTGAACGCCTTGTCGCACACCTTGCAGGTGAGCACGGCGGACAGGGTGCGCGACTCCTCCGAGCTGAGGCTGTTCTGGCCGCTGTCCTTGCCGTGGTCGTTGTTCGCATTGCCCGACTTGATGGAGATGCTCTGCTCCTGCGAGAGTATGTTCGTGTAGTGCTGCGTCTCCTGCATGTGCTTGGTCATCTCGCCCAGCGAGCGGAAGCTCTCGCCGCACCGCATGCACTTGAGTATCTGCATCGCCTGCTCCACGCCCTTGCCCAGCCATACGTTTTGGCCGCGCACCAGCTTGCGGGGCAGCGGCGTGGGCGGATCGCCGCGATACTGGAACGCGTTCTTCACGTTCGCCGAGGGCGCCTGACTGCCGGACTGCTTGCGCTGCTGCTGCTGCTGCTGGGACTGCGACTGCTGCTGGTGCTGCTGCTGTTGGTGGTGGTGCTGCTGTTGGTGGTGGTGATGGCCGCCAGCCTGTCCCGAGCCAGTGGAATGGTGGTGCGGCTGGTTGCTGGGCAGATTGCCGAAGGGCGGCACATTGACGCCGCAGTGCTTGCTGTCCTTCATGTGCGTGGTGAGCGCTTCGAGTGTGGGGAAGCTCTGCTTGCACCACACGCAGCGGAACACCGAGCTGGCCACGCCCTTGTTCTGCCAGTGCGACTGCCAGATGTTGTGGCGCGCCTTGGTCACTCCACTGCCACCGCCGCCGCCGCCCTCGCCGGCTGTGTTATTCGAGCCGGAGGAGCCGCTGCCGCTGCCGCTGCCGGAGCCCGTTTGATGCGCAGGACTCTTGGGCGGCGGTGCAACTGCTGCCGGTGGCGTCGCCTTGCTCTGCTGCTTCTCCTTGTGCAGCCCCGAAGAGCCACCACCACCTGCACCGCCCTTGACAATGTCCGACATCTTCTCCAGCGGATCCACCACCAGGTCATTCTTGCCATTCCAGTCCGGGAACTGCCCCGCCCGGAATATGTTGGCCGCCGCTACCGCGGCCAGGTAGGGATTGACGCCGGGCATCAGTGGAGCTGCGGCCGCTACTGGCGACGCATTGGCGGGCGGGCTATCCGACTTGAACATCTTCTTCACCTGAATCTGGCCAACGGGACTCTCTGCGTCATGGCTGCGCTTGCGCGTGCCCACCGACAGGTCGAGCGGATTGTTGGCGCCGTCATCGAACTCCTCCTCCTCCTCGGAAGCCACGGGCTCCGCGGACTCGGCGCGCGCATACAGATTGGTGCGAAAGTCCAGCGCCTCCGAGTTGCTGCTCGAGGCGGTGGGCGACGCTTGTGGCGGCAGCTTGAACGGCGCTGCCGCCTCGCTGGGCAGCGGCAGCGGCAGCCGCGGACCGGCCGCAGCGGCCGCGGCCAGCGGGAAGCCGTATTGCTGCGCGGCGGCAGCTACCATGTGCAGGTAGGCCTCCATCGAGGAGGGCTGGGCGGGCAGCGACTGCGGCACCGCTGGGAATGTTGAGTGCATTGTGGTGGGCACCACCGGCAGCACGCCCCCCGACATGTTCCCTGCGTCCCGCTGGCCACCGTTGTCCGAGGAATTGGAGTCGTGCGAAGGGCAGCGCTCGCTGGAATTCGCCGATTCCGTGGAACGTGGACGTGCTGTGGGCAGGGCGCTGCAACGAGAGAATAGAGAGGGGGGAAATTGAAATAAGGATTGCACATTTTTGAATCGAATACGTATGGAATGGTGGTATTAGGAATGCAATCCATAGAAATGAAATTGAATTGCCGTCAGACGCAATTCAAATTTCTTATATCAAATTCATTCTTACTTAAAGAAATTTAAGAGAAATTAATTTATTTAAATTAAGCAATGCCCAAGTTAAAACTCTTCTAAGAAGTTGCACCCAATTTTATTGTAGTTGGGTATTGTAGGCATAGGAACTAGAGTAAGAGCAAGAAGAAGAAAAATATTCTACTCAGATCTTGGGGAAATCCTAAATTTAAGTTTAATATATTAAAATGTGATATCTGTGTATATATATATATAGAGAGAGAAAGCGAGTCAGAGAGAGCATAAAATTAATTGATCATAAATCAAATGCGATCTCAGCTAAAGCAAACGGTCATCAATTCCATCGTTCCACACTCGCTCTCATTCTGTTCTCTCTCTAGCTCTCTGTCTCACTCACTCTCACTACAAGGCATTAATCAATCAACAGCTATAAATTGTGCTAATTATACGAAATGTTCAGAAATTAGGCAGCGTAATGAAGGCTCATTGATCATTGATCGACAATCGATAATCGACTATCAGAGATTAGTGATCAGCGATCAGTGATCACTGATCATGTGATCAACTTGTTTTACGGCAGTCAAGTTCGCTGAGTGATCAGCTCACTCTTAATGGCCGAGAATGCCATTTTGAGAGTATCTGTTTCTCTATCAGTTTCTGTCTCGCTCTGCAATTGGTCAAAGTGTGGCAGAAGAACTTTCCCCGCCCTCAATTATATAATCGACTCATTAGCGTGTGCAATAGAAAGAGATGGCATGAATCATTCTTTGCTTTCCCATTCGCATAAGCTAACAATGCCTCTTCTCCGCTCTTCCCCGCTCGATCTTTCTGTCTTGCTGTCGATCCACTCGATCGTAGATCATTAGTGAAAGCTTGTCATTCGATCATCGTTCAGCTTTCGAGAGATCTTGACTGTTTCCAATCTATATATGCGCGTTTTATAAATCCAAATGCATTTGATACTCGCGGAGAGTGGCGGCAGGGCCGGGGCGGCGAGAGGTCGGGACAGCTAGCTATAAAAATCTAGTGGCACAACAATGGCAACAATATGAAACATATGTCAACATTTCGTTTGTTATTCAAATCCATAAACCAAAACGAAACTGTTCGCAGCTGTTTCAACTGACGCCCGCCGCCCTCCCCCTCTCGCTCTAGCTGCCAATCTCCCTTGCGACGCCACGCTGCTGACAAGTTTTGCTCGTAAAAATCGTTAAAAATCGGTTAAATTTATTTTGGAACAATGGCGTTTAATTCGAGACAGCCAAAGCGTGAATTATGATCGGAGCTCATCATAGCGATTATCAACAGATCTTTCGTCATCTAAGATCGGTTTTGTCTTCTACTCATTTCGCCGAACCGCAGAGGGCGGCCCATAAAATTGACGACAAAGCGAGCCACAAAAGCCATTCCACATATTTTGCATAAATTAAGTTGGCTAAACTCCCCCCTCCGACCTCTTCCTCATTCACCACCACCAGCACCTCCTGCTCCGCCTAATATGCATAAATAACTAACAAAGTTTTATTGCTCTGCATCTACTTATAAATCTGCAAAAGGCACATGCTTAACTACATACATAGACTATATATACATTTATCTAGATATATGTACATATTTATATACTTTTATTTTTATTTTTTTTCATTTATAAATTTTGCTTTAGTTTTGATTTCCTCAATTTTTACACATATTCAAATTATTTTTTTATGTTAAGCACAAAAGTTGTAAAATGTTGATGGCAATTTATGAACATTATTTTGCTGTTCGCTTTGTGAGTGTGTGTGTGTGTGTGTGTGGGCGTGGTTTAGGCGCTTAGAGCTGCTGACTTGCCAAGTTGCTGAATTTGCCGGAAATGGCGAAGCTTTCGACTTGACTGATGAGCGAATGGGTAAATTGGATTCATGGGAATTATTGATTGACAGGTAAATTATAAAATTATATATGAGTCACTTTATGACATTTCGAATATTTCTAATTTAATATGAATCAGTTATTGATTATGTCAGTAACTAAACTATGCAGCTGTAGCATAAGATAACTAAGATAAGCTATTCACTCTAACTGCAACAAGTTGGCAGCTCTGTTTAAATACAAAAAGGGGTCGAAGTAAGCCATGGATATGCGAAGACTTACGAGTAAAGTATATACTATATAAATTAGTATTTTCAAAAGAATTATATTTTTAAATGATGAATGTATAAAAATAAAAATATATATATATAAAAAAAAAAAAAAAAACTTTGTACATTAAATATAAATATGTATAAAACACATATATAAAAATATATCCAAATAAAAGTCTAAATATATAAAAAAAAAATTGTATATGAAATGCAAAATTATGTGACTAAAAATATAAGAAAAAAAAATTATTATGAAAAAAAAAAAAACACAAATATTGATTTATGAAATCATAAATATAAAAATAGTAATCTTAAATCATCCAATAGAAACAGAAACCAATATGTTAAATAAACATATATTTATTACAGAAAGTTTTAGTTATTTTGCTGCCAAAAGTGCTATTAAAATACACATATATATATAAAATATTTGTTATATTAAATAATATATTTAATCAAAATTTGTTATGCTTTTATACTCATAATACATATATCAATTTTCGCCTAATAATCAGCATAAATAAAAGTTATTTTTATCACAATTAAAGATAAAATAAAATATTTCAGTTAGTTAACCTAAATCTAAAATCCAAATTTATTTATCATTCTTAATATTTTATAAACTTTCTATTATTTTAGTCTTCTAGTATATTTACTTAGTAGAACCTTTTTGTTAAAATCCAAATTTATTTATCACTCGTTAGTTTCTATTTAAACCTTCTATTATTCTCGTATTTTTTTCAAGTCACCAAGAATTTGTAAGCTTTTCTCTTTGAATTTTTGGTGTCTTTCTGCTGCTCACTGACTTATCGCTCTTTAGCTGGCGGTGGAACGATCACTCAATTCTGCCAGCATTAAGTTGTCCAACACAATAAACATTTTATCAAGCTATCGATTGTGGTAAAACTCATTGATGGATAGCGACCAATAAATCCAGAAATTTTTGTTGTTGTGGCTTCACTCGCTACTCTAAATGCAATAATATTGATGGGCTTTTGCCCAATGTCAAGCAGTGCCGACATCAACTATATATCTCTATACTATTTAGCAATGATGCATTGAGGCCTTTTCCTGCTACTTTTTATGTAATATCGAAATTTGTTTCTCTCCCAACTGAAACAGCTTTCGCTCGGATACCTAATACACATAGCCACGTTTAGCTGTGCGCAAATTGCTAATTGGATTTACAGATGGCGAGGTGAGATTGAGAGTCGTATGCATAAAAAAATAAAATACCTCAGCTACAAGTTTTCCACGGACTGCAGCTATCATAATATGCAATCATGTTATTTGATGAAGCTTAAATCAAAATGATTTATAGGCAGCGACTGAAATGCAATTAATTACAAGCGGGAATTGTCTCATTAATAATCAAACACACACACACACACACAGAGAGAGAGAGAGACACAATCAGGCAGATTGACGGGTTTGATCTGTGCTAAATGCTGGCTGTAGATACTTTTGTATCTGTTAGATACTTTTCCATGCACGCATGACTAATACAGAAACTAAACATTACTAAATGGCCCCCTCGGCCCCCAAGCTAGCTGCAAATTGTGCGCATAAATCTTGGCAGTAATAGGCGCGCACTCAAACACACACTGGCAAAAAGATACAGCCAGAGAGAGATGGAGATACATCTACAAGCTAAAGATACGGATACAGATACAGATACAGCGACGCCCACGTAAAGCATATGAAATGTATAATTTCCACTATTTTGGTTCGTCGAATATTCTTAGCATGATTTATTCATTTCGCATTTTCCAATTTTCCAAATCATTCGCAGAACAAGAGAGGAACACAACAGCAACAACGTGCCACAATTTGCTGCTGCGGCTGAAGTCGACTTCTGTGCTGAAGCGAAACTCGTTTCGCGTTCCGATTTATTCAAAAAATCTATCTCAAAACGAGTTTAATCACAAAGCCTATGGCAAACGTTTAGCCAGCGATAATTGCGTGCGATATTTGAGCGATTGACCGATTGAGCGATTGAGCAAGTCGGCAATCTCATTTAGTTGGCCCAACTCACTCTATACTACATAGTCTCTGGTATATATACATATATATATATAACGCTATTTATCGCCTGATATTTGGTTTATAAATCAATTTATCTGCCTTGCTTTATAGTCGGCATATGGCCTGGGTGGGTGTCTCATGATATATGGCCTATATATCGGGGCGAGTTGACAATTTATAACGACAGGTGTTGGCTGCGACGATGGCGACGACGTCGAGAAAGCATCAAAACGTCTCGCACATTCGTCACACTCAAAAATAATTCTCAATTCTAATTCCTAGGTCATACATTTCATTTCATTATTTATATGGATCCAGTTTTGGGACTAAAAGCTAATTAGTCGACTTCTATTTGTGCGCTGTCTTAATGAAAACCAGTTTGGAAATTAATAAAGATTCTGACACGTCTCTAATTTTGTCTCTGTAAACAGTTTCGATCTGGCTTTCAATTTTAATAGAGGTAATTTAAGGAATTTCAATTACATTGCATAGATATATGTATGTATAAACCACTTTGGTAATAGATAAATACATAAATTATGTCTTAAGCAGATTTTTGGAAATATTATGATTTGCTTTCATCAAATTATTTATCTTTGCAAGTAAATCAATATATTTATAATCTTTACTCTAGTATAATTTACTCTTATATGACATACTCTTATATTAAATAGTCATACGTATTAACAAATCAAAAAGCAACTCTCTTATATTTACTAGCTCAACAAATTTTTCTCACAAATCATGATAAGCTCTACGAAGCACCATAAATCTTTATATATACAATAATATACACATAGATAGATCTATAGTAAAATTCAAGTAAATTTAACTAAAGTTCTATGCAAATGTCAGTTTAATCAATATCTCAATCTCAATCAATCAATATCTCATTACATCTCATTAATGTATCTTACACTATGGCCTATTTTATTTACATTTATTTCACATACTTTCAACTAGTAAAACAATATTTTATATTAAACATTGAATATCTTATATAATTTGATTTATAATTATATAATTAATTATTTTGTTTCTTTTTTTTCAACTTTTTTTCAACAAATATAAAAGCCGGCATTTTGAAGTGAATGATTAGATATATATTTAAAAAAAAATATTATATAAATTTCCCTATTCTTGCTGAACTAACTAAACATTAAACATTTAACTTAAGCGAAAATTAAGATGAACATATATTGTTATTATTTTTCTAAGCTTATATTACTGATTGGAGCTATATACATACATATGTACATGCATATGTATTTTTCCAAATGTAAATTTATTCCAGTTTCGAACAAAAAAGAATCTTAAATCAATCTACACAATTGTTGCACATGATTAATAAATCTGCAATACTGATAATAATGATAACAGACATAGAGATATTTCTTTATTTTTTAATATTATAGCTAATAGATATATATACATTATATATAGACATAGATATATTATATTTAATTATATTTTTATATTTGTATTTCCCTTACACTTAATTGTATGCAATAATAATCAACAACTTATTTCAAATATTTAATGTTAGATCTCTAGCTTACCCGGCATTTAGCGCCTGTCTGTAGATCTCGAGCATCAGCGCCTCGTGTAACATTTTCAAATTTTGCTGAATTTTGACGGATTTTGCGTTTGCTCTAAATTTTAATTAAAAATTTCACTTAATCTTGTGGGTTTTTTTTCTTTATCTTATATGGGTAATTTGACACAATATGCAATATGTGTTGTTAATAATATTTTGTTGTTTGTTTATTTATATTTTGCACTTGGTATTTTTTAGCGTTTTCAGCTACGTATAACTTGTGTGTTAAATATTGTAATATATATATATATATCTATATTAATTTATTTAAATTATTTTATTTTATTTGTTAATATATTTATAATATTTTCATATGGCAGACAGAAAAATTTATGTTGTTTTAGTTTTAATTTAATAATTGCATTTGAATCGTATACTTCGTTTGAAATTTGTTGATTTGTTTTAAAATTTTTGTATTTGTATTTTAAGTTTTTGTTTTTTTTTTTTGGTGAGCAAAATATTGTTTAATATATGTATATATATTTTGTAATTTATTTTTCGTAGTTTTTAATTTTATTAATAAATATATTTAATTTGTTTTTGTTGTTTTACGTATACTTTTGTTGAACCATTTGTTGTTTGCTTGTTTTGTTGTAATTTGTTTTTGTTTTACTTGTTGTTGCTGTTGTTGTTGTTTTTGTTGTTGTAATCAGTCTTAATTAAACATTTGACGCGCATTTCATTGTAAATCTCATCTTGCTTGTGAATTTTGACTAGATATGATGCATGTGTGCGTTGTTGTTGCTGCTGTTGTTGTTGTAACTAATTTGTTAATAAATTAATTTTTATTAAATTATGCATTTCATTTTCATTTTTTATCACACTTTTTCTTTTATAAATGGCGTTTCGATTAAAATAATTGAATTTCTTTTAGTTGCTTTTCGAACACGCGTCGCACACAATTCGCTCGCATTTATTTGTCAATGTGTACGTGTATGTGTGCTTGTTTGTTTGTTTGTGTATGTACGTGTGCGTGCGTATGTTTTGGTTTCTTTCTGCCTTTCGTGCTTAGTGCGGTTCATCCGGATACCGTCGTTACTCGTTTGAGAGGCGAACAGCGAATGAATGTGTCGGCGTTGCCGTGTCGTCACTGGCTGCGGCGCTGCTGCTGCTGCTGGCTGCCGCTTCTTCTCAGTCTCGGGTCGCTTCTTCTGCTGCTGCGCTGCTGCTACTGCGGCGACGACTGCTGCGTCGGCTGTCAAACTGATTCAGTCAAGAATCAGACACAAACAACAACAAAAACAACAATGCGTTCGCGCTCGTCGTTCTGCTTCTCTGCCTGCTCGCTGCTGATTGATACCAAAAAAATGAAGTTCAAAGCGCGGTGGCAGCGACGCGCACGTTTCGTTTCGTTTCGTTTTGTCTGCTTTTCTGGAGCTGGGCGCCCTGGAAGCTGCGTTGGCGGCTCTGTTGCTGTTGCTGTTCTTGTTGTTGTTATTGTTGCTGCTGCTTGCTGTCTTTTGACGAGAGTTGGACTTGAAACACGACGCTGACAACGACGCTGACGATGACGATGAGGACGACGACGACGGCGACGGCGACGTTCGTTAACACGAAGCGCGCGTTTGGCGACGGCAATTTCTGATTCGATTGCGTTAAGCGACGGCGCAACGCAGTGCGCAATCAGTTCTTGTTGTTGTTGCTGTTGTTGTTCGAGTATTTGGCGCCCCCACCGAAAAGGCGACGTCGACAGCGCAGCGTGTTGATTACTTTGCTGCCCTGCTTTTTGTGAGTGTTTTTTGGTTTTGTTTTTTCTCCTCCCCCACCAATACCAGCGGCTGGCTGTCACAAATGCTGTGATTAAATGTGCTGCTATCTCGCTCGCGCACGCTGACAGCGACGCTGGCGTCTGCGCTAATTAATTACAACGGCTGCGACAGCAACGGCGACGGACGACGCAGACAGCGCGAATCTGTCCACGCGCTTTTTCTTTTACCCTTTAACGTTTTACGTGCGTGTTCTTGGCGCGCCACAGAGCTTTTCGAACATGATCGTTCGCTGTAACGGTCTGTTGTTGACTGAAAATGTGGCGCGCGGCCGGCGCGACGAGAGCGCGACGTTCACGAGAGGGCGACGCCAGTGCGCATGGCCGTCGGGCACGTTTCCCCTGCACACCAATTGGAACTGCCATAAATCTTGTTTATGTTTTGGGTCGTGTATACGAGTGGAAATGGAACAGCCAGCCAGCGCAGGGGAAATAATTGTGCTCATTCTGCCTCTCACACTCTGACTGTTGCTCGCTGCTGTCGTTGATGTCGCTCTCCCGTTGGCTCTCTCTCTCTCAAATTAGCTGCATGCAGTGTTTCGTCAGCGTGTCACCCTTTTGGTAGGTCGGCGGCTTCAGCACATTCCAATTCCATCACTCCGCCACAATTAAGATTTATGACAGTTCAAAACAAATTTTCTCACTCGCATGCGCTGGCTCACTCACTCCCTCACTCCAATGGCTGAGCATGAGTGTAACTCTGTGTGTGTGTTTGTATGTTTGTATGAGTGTGTTGGTTGCTCAGAAGGTGGTTCGTTCTAATTTGTTGCTGTGTTGCTGCTGCCTCTGCTGCTGCTGCTGTTGCTGTTGCTGCTTTCGTCTGCGCCGCTGCTGCAGCTGTCGCGCTTTCGACATTTTGTCTCTCTGTCTGGCACTTTTTTTGAGTGTGTGTGTGTATGTGTTTTTTTTGCAACATGCGGGTGTTCTGTCTGTGTTACTTTACGTGTATGTGTGCACACAATGACATTGTAATATAGCTAAATATGTACTATGTGCAATATGTAAATAGCAGCAGAGCTGGCAGCTCTATTCCTCGCTCACTGTTCGTCAATTTGATGACAGCTCGTGAGGGCTGTTTGCGAGTATACATATGTATGTACATATACTATATGCATGTGCATGTATGCGGCTGCATGCATTCATTAAGCAACTCATATGTTTGTTTGTGCAGTTTCGTTCAGTTTCTAAATTTGTAATTTACAGCTTTCCTTCTTTCCTCCATTCATCGTTTTCGGATGCTTAACATAAGTTTAATGCCGAATTTAACAGCCGGTTTTATGTTATGAATTAATGTTCTGCTTGCTTTTGCATATTGAAGCAAACGGGGGAAGTTTTAAGAGTTGCTATACTGCTAATTAAATAGAAATTAGGTAAATAATGGTATTGAAAATAGAAAAAGTTGAAAATATTTTAAGATAATTTTAATGAATATTTATCTGCATACAAATCTTGATTAAGAGACTGAGAAATAGAAAATTATGAGGGACAGAGAAATACAATAGTAAAACAGAGCAGTGTTTGATATGTTTATTAACTATAGTGGGAAATACTTTACTAATTCTTTCTTACCAGATAAAAAAAAAAAATCTTTACTTTTGATTTATCATATGGAAAGATGAAAAAATTAAAATATACATTTTAAATTCATAAAATTGTTTGAAGATCTGTAAATTTGTACCTAATTCAGATCTGATTTTTATGTATGCATTATTATTCTATTTCCTATATGTATCAAAGCTCTCTTCTAACGTTAAATATATAATAGTTTCACATATTTCCTCAGATATTCTAATCATATTCTAATAAATGCATACATACAAATACCGTATACATATTCCGCATATAGAATTCCCTTTTCCACCTTTAATTTACCTGCAACCACCTGGATTCGAAGTAGATTCGCGCTTCGTATGCAGATTTCTGTGGGTTTTGATCTTTGGGCGCGAATTCCGCAGCGAACCCATCATAGATGGGTTCCAGCTACGAATTCCAAATAATAATTTATCAAACACATTTTACGATCGAGCACATAAAAAACTTAATGTGCGACCGAGCGAGGCGGACCAGAAGAAAAATATTAAATGAAAAAAAAATTGTGAGAGGAAAAAATGCCCAAATCAAATTATAGAATCGTAAAAGTATTTATTACCCCAGAGTCCGGCTCGCCTCCAGACGAACGTCAATCGGCATTGGCGCTGGCGACAGTTGGTCAGAGAATTATGCGGCGACAGGAGCTCAATCTCTCTGCGCCCTCCTCTCTCGCTCCCTCTCTTTTCGACTCACTGCAAGGATTGGTAGGTGGAGCCAGCGCTTCCAAGTGATTTGATTATCATCGTTTAATTGTCGACTCATAAAAACTTTTACGACCCACTGTGCCGGGCATTAAGTGGGCCCGATTGGAGCAACAAGTGCGACGACTCCGACTCCGACTGCAGATTGAGGCTCAGCCATCATTGGTTATCAATAAAAAGCGTTCTCCATTTTCACTCAACTGTCGTCGCTGCTTATTTTCCTCTGTTTCTTCTGCTTCCTCTGCTTCTTCTACTTCTCTCGGTTTTTATGTCTCTGCATTCGTCAACAATTAGCGACTTAAACTCGGATAATACTGGACTTTGGGCAAGCGACATTGCTGAACTTACGTTGAGCTCACTGTGGGTACAGTGAAGCATGGCATGAGTGAGCAGGAGTGCTAGAGTCTTAGTAAACTAAAACTAGACGATATGGAATGAATATGTATTGAATATATTGAATGAATATTGATGAAAATTCAAATTCTTCTCTTTATGATTAATAAATATTAATAAATAAAAAATTAAAAAAAAAAATCATAATAAAAGAAGAAAAATAAATAAGATAAGATAAAAATAATATAAGATATGCAAACTAAAAATAAAATAAAAAAGAATGAGTATAATATAAAAATAAAAAATAAAATAAAGAATGGCTTTTACAAAAATGACTTGAATAAATTTTTAAGCAGCAAATGTAATTTATAATCATCAATTCGTGAGCTGTTTTCAGGCTGAGATCTCTAGATCTTTAAACCTAACGTAATATATGGTTTTAGTGGAGAAATTGTTAAAATTATGATAATGGTAAAATAATAATAAAAAAAAAATTATTATATAACATTTTTAAGTGATCAAAACTATATTTAAAAAAAATGAATAAAATAAATAAATTGATCAAATATTAAATAAGCAAACAAAAAATATAATGTTTAATTATTAATGACTTTTAAATTAAAGCAAGCTAAAAGTAAAAAGCATCAAATTATTATATGACACGAATTAAATGTATTATTAAAACTTAAAAATAATATACATACAAATTTATTCAATATGTTACATAACGATAATGCCATACATTATATATAATATATATGTATATCAAATAAGCTTCTTCGACTCCCATTGACTTTGATTGAATTTGAATTGAATACAAAGGAAACTCTTCATAAATTTTGCCAATCTTTC